CAATGGACATTCTTAAAACCAATTAAAGTTAAGTTTATGGAGCTGCTAACAGCTCCCTCTGGACCATTTGACAGTTTACTCTCAACTGCCAGACAGCTCAATATGGACCATTTCTGCTAACGGGGACTTTTGCCTCATGTGAATAAATGTCTATCTACTTAAAGAAACCACCAATTAAAGAACACCTCCAATGAAAGACCACTTTTCTGTGGTCCCATATTAACAAATGTCTATTATCCTTATTATTCTAATTAGAGACTAAAGCTGCTAATGACCACAGAAACACATGTTTCAAAGTAATCTTGGCTTGCGCTTTGCAACGTAAAGAAAAGGTTTATTATAAATGCACAGTAACAGAATAAACATTGCATCATGAACACCGCCATCCATTAGTGTAGTCTTGCGTTCATTCGGGGGTGGGGTGCGTGTAAATTGCAAATGCAGAACAAATTCCATAATAATAAGAATGAATTTTAAATGGTAAAAGGGTGATTCCTCGCACACTCCACCTCAGCATACGTCCAAGGCCATCCATGCTTTTGGTCGATAATAAACTAATAACAACTGATTTATTTTACACCCTCCCCCCACCCCACACCCTTTAAAGACTGTAACTTTTCCCCACAATGGTGGCAGAAGAAAGGCACTAGCAACAGATATTACTATGACTAAAATAATAACCAGTGTTCTCCCCAGGCCCTTAAAACCGTGACGCTTGGGACTTCGTTACCGTGCACCGTGACGCTCCCAAGCTGGCCGTGACGCTTGGTGCGTCTTCCGTGACACTTTAAAATATCGTCAATAAAAATACTAATAAGAGTACGTTTTGTATAAATATTTAACATAAAAATAACGCTAAAAAGAAAAGATCGACGTTTCGAAACGTCGATATTTTCTTTTTAGCGTTATTTTTATGTTAAATGTCAACAAAATAATTCAAAATAAACAATGCTGTCCATGTAGCCTTGTTTGGAGAAGAGTGAGTGTGAAAATAGTTTTAAACATAAAACGATGTTGGTTTATCAGCCCAAGTTCATGCTTGATCTTTTTGCGTTCATTTTTGTGTTATCTTTACCTGGAGAAATGTCCCTTTCATTTCAAAATACGATCGTTAGCTTGATTCACACAAACTGTTTGCTTCAAAACTGCCCATGCATGTCAATGGATACGCATGCCCAAAACGGTCTATCTGGATTTTCCTGTCACAACATGTACATCTCTTGACAGCGAGGTCACAGCGATCGTGTTTGTGTTTAAACAATTAGGCCTAGGCAATAGGCCCCATGTTGAATTTGGTGTTTTTTTTTTATTTATAATAAACAACGACTGGGTGTCGCAGGTACCATGATGCTTAACCCTCATCCTGGGGAGAACACTGACAATTATATAAAAGCATATAATACCAAAACTTAAGGAAGGGTCGTCACAAATTTCAGTGTAATATTAAATTTTGGATTAAGTTCCACTCGTTCTCAACGTAGCAACAGCGCCATTTTCAAATGTAAATGTTATCATTTGGTTGGACTTGCTTGTTGGCAAAATCTGCTCAAAGAAAAACACAATGTACATTAGAATGTTATTCTGACATGCCTTTATGCATTATAATGATTAAGCCTACTGAATGACATTTTATTGTATTTTATATTTTATGTTTATGCCAAATGACTTGAAATAATATAAAGATAGCGGGACAGAAGTTGAAGGTCAAACCAGCACCACCAATCAACACCTCAGACTTAAAATCGCTGGGACATTAACCATGGCCTATGAAACATACTACATTATATAGATAATCAACTTGAGTTGGAAGTTTAGGGGAGAACAATTTCAAGAAAAGGTTTAAAGAGAGAGATGAATTTTAGAGGAGAAAAAGTCAGGGGATAGGATGGCAAAATGCATGATTTTGATAATGGGGACGCAAATAAAAAAAACATGGAACAATTTATTTAGCTTCTGTAAACATGTAAACAGTCTTAATAAACTTTGTTCATTTCCCAAAAATGCATCCGGTGGAATGTGTAATGCCCGTCGACCACCGAGTGCATACCAACAAGATAACTTGAGCATTAAATTGTAAACATACTGACCGCATTATTATCAGGTTGATTACTATCAAAGCCTGTTGTTAGATCTCGAATTCCTGTTATCTTGAATTTACCACAAGTACTTGGGTACTCTAAATAAAATTAGAAAATTGTTATCAAAATCATAACTTTTTTAACCATTCAATCATTTTATATATTTTGTCCATTGATTTGTTGTTTTCATTTGTTTCACTCAATTGTTTAATTTCTAAATGTTTTTGTTAAATCTGGAGGATGCATGCTCTAGTTCAGTTGGCAGAACAACTAAACAGGTTAGAAGATCTTAGGATCATATTTATTTATGTATGTATTTTGCATAGTTATCTTGTGGCACCATCTTTGGTTCAGCACTGGTTCCACAAGTTGATCATATGAACTAAGCAAAATATAACAAATGTAAATCAGAAGTACAAAATCAAACAGAAATGAAGAGAAAAATATAAATATAAATACAAAGAAGACAACTAATGAATAAAAATATGGGGTTTTGAAGTTAAACATTGTCAGTTGAATATCATTAAAATATATTCTAATTAGGTTTGGAACCTTATTCCGTGTTTTTGTTGCACATTATGAAAACGTTCTCTTGAATTTATGGAACTGAAAAGAGCAATAAAAATATTGATCGATGCTTTTAACTTACACTTCCATTTTCCAGAGTTCTAATGGTATCAAACATTTTCTGGATGGTAGACTGATGGTGGCAGATGTAGTAAGAGTTGATAGAGTAATGGAAACCATATCTACAAAATAAAATATAAATTATGAAATATTGCTCACTATACCTTAACATAATAAAAATAGAAGTGGTTGGTATTTAGGTCAGGGTTTAAAACTATCGCTGTGCAAATCGCTTGTGTCCTTGGGCAAGGCACTTTATATGTTTTTCTGTGCTTGTCTTTTTACCTAGGACTATAAATGGGTACCTGGTGGGATGTTGTAGCATTGATTGTACTAGTTTTGTGTGTCGAATATACACGCAATACGTTACTTCTCAGGGAGCAGAGAAGGTTGCACTTGGCGCTGGATTGTCATTGTGTGCTCAGCGCCTTTCATCAATTATTTGGAATTGGTGCTATATAAATCTTTGGCATTATTATTATTATTATTATTATTATTATTATTATTATTATTATTATTATTATTAATCATCACCCACTTAATAGCAGTATTGGCTTCAGCCGATCAGGAAGAATAGCCACACCAAATAACAAACCAATTAGACATAGAAAAGCCGTTCTTCCCAGTGCTGTCTGTCTGACAAATGATAAATGTTTGTATATCTAGCAATATTCTTTATTCAACTCTTGCATTATTTACTTACTCCCGGTATATATCATAGAGCTTCTCCTTCATGGTCATGCCTTGGGTAGCAAGGTACCCAACCATCTCAGCCAGGATTGCACAGGCGCTGATACCATTTTTATCCAGCACATTTGAACCATACATGAAGCCTACAAAAGAAACAAACAATGTGCATAATAGTTATTGTTAACAATACTAAATGATGACAATAATAGTGATGATGAAAATGAGTAGCAGAGATTATTAAAACGGTGACACACCACCCATCTTTGTTTCAATAGTTCTTCATTGAGTACAATCTGATATGATACCTAAAGTTATGGAGTGTCACATTTATCATAGGTCAGCTCAGCAATAGTGTCAACATTTTCCTGACAAGTGGTCAGAACACGACACGACAGATATACAATACCCATCTCAGCTCTACCATGTTTGGGGCTGAGGTTAAAAAAAGTTTCACATTTTATGCCTAAAGCCAAATGTGTCTGGCCAAGAAAATGAAAAGTTTTCAGCAAAATATTTTAGTGCGACTACCTAACAAGATCACCAAGAGTGCCTGTGGGCCCCGGGGCAGCTTAGCATGTATCACATAAAATACTAAAGAACTGCAAATACAAAATGCTTACCAATAGCTTCTTCAAATGCAAAGAGTACAGTGTGTCCATTCTCTTGCAATTGATGAGAACGATTCCCCATCCACTTAAATCCTGTTAATGTCTCCTACACAGAAGATAGAAACATTTGCCAATCGATTTATAAAAGCAATTCTTGATTAATTGCTTGGCATCCAACGCCTGAACCTTTCGTAACGAGCACATGACAACTAAAACTACACCTATTAACTATAGTGATGTCGTATATAAAAATATGCATTTTTTTTTGGTGAAAATAAACAAAATGATGATGAATAAAATGATTCCTTTTCTTCTGCCACTCCCACTGGTGCCATCCTGTCAATCACTCAATCTGTAATGTGACATTATATATGCGTTATTGTGTAATTAGAATTATATAAATGTAATTATTTATTTGTATCTGTGCGAGCTGAGTGTTTGGCCAATGAATAATGTTCCAGCCTCTTGTAATGTAGACTCCAGTAAAAACCCGACTAGCTTCAGGTTTTGGAGTCAGAACACTCTGCTCCTAAAAAATAACCCTTGCATGAAAGTCAGGAAGAAAAGGAGACAATTTATCCGTTATTTGTCAGTATCGGTGCTGTACTATGGCTGCCGCGGGTCCCCAGGGGCCCAGCAAAAAACTTCCAATTTCAAATAATTTGAATTAGACAAAATAGAAACATTTTAACCTACCAACATGCTGATAGGTGAACTGCTTTGACATCCTTTGTAGCAATCTGGTATTTGACTGAAGGTAAATAACACAAAATTCGCAAAAATAATAACAGGAACAGAGGTACTTACTTCAAACTTGAAACCTTCTTTATAACCAATAGCTCTTAATATCTTAGATGATATATACAGTACTTGCTAGCATATAAACTGACTCCCCTGAATCATCTTAACAAAAATTCAAAATAAAGTTGAAAAAAAAATAAATAAAAAAAATAAAACAAAATTATAAAACATAAATTTTAAACATGAGTTTGTTGTGTAATATTAATTGCAAGACAACCATAAAGTGAAGAAAAACATATAAATCTATATACAGCAGTAATGCCACAACTAAAAATGTCAATTTAAATTCTTATAAAAAGAAGACTGAAATGTAAATTTTTTAAAGAATTGATGAAACAGGACTTTAAATGAAACCAATCCACAGAATAACAAATTCTGTTTGTACTAATACATCTGTGCATGTGGGTCTGCGCATGGTGCTGTGTGTGTCAATATGTTTGTCTGTACGAGTATCTGCATGTGTGTGCGTGCATGGTATTCTGTATGCGTTGATGTGTGTTTTGTGCATGCTTTTGTGTGTATGGTGTTGTTCATGCATTAATGCATGTGTCTGTGCGTATCTTGTGTCTGTGAATGGTTCCTGCACATGCACTAATGCATAAACCTGTGTATCACACTCACAGTGTGCAATACAGCTATAAATAAGCCCACATAGGCGTACAATATACAGTATCTGATCATATCAAATTAACACACAACTAAAAAAATTACGCCATGTGGCCAGTTATTTGGGATGTATGTCTGATTATAGTGTTCACCCAGTGCCACCTTAGTGTGTGTGAATAACAAAATAAGTGCTCACCCAAAATATATGTAATAAATGTACGCGATATTTATAGGAATAAACTGTTCTGATTCAATGCCTCTTCAGTTAACCTACATCTCAACATGATCAATATAAGCTCACTAAAATTAGATCATGTGATAGTAAAACATGGCTAACAATTTTCAGGGGTGGATCCAGAGATGTCTGAAAGTGGGGGGGAGGGGAGGTGGGCACGATTGAGGTAACACGATCCTAGGGGTTCCGAGGGAATGTCCAGCGAAATGTTTATGTTCTAGACACCTGAACGTAACCTCTGAGGCGCATTGTACAATCCATTTTTTCCTTTTCCTTTCTTTCGTTCTTTCTTTTTCATTTTTTCAACTATCCAAAAGGAGGGGACCGGTCCCTAATCCTCCCCTGATTATAAATTATTTCTTTTTGTGTCAGCAAAACTATAAGCTCAATCAAAATTTGGCCACATGGTCAGCCTATAACGAGTGGATAGCCACTATATAGTAAGCAATGCCTCCTGGTTAAAACAAAATAAATATGGACTCGCCTAAAATAAGATCATGTCTGCCCACAAGAAAATGTGAATTGCTTAAATATGATGACATGGCATACAACAGATTTTTGTCAAATAAAATTTGATAGTATGGACAGGGTTGCTGATAGAATCAACAGTCCTTGAAACCTACACTGCTGATTGTTCTGCTTTTGATGTCGGTAACGGTGGAAAACCCAACAACCAAGCAGCGCCCCCGTCTCGTTGCCTGTAAACACCTTCCACGGATGCTCCACTTTGTTCCACTTGGCCATTGCAATCCGGTCAGCATCAGGGTCATTCGCAAGGATTATACTGCAATTATTTTCCTCGGAAGTTTTCATGGCGAGGTTCAACGCACTCTTGCCTTCCTCCAATTGCACAAGTATTGTGGAAAATTGTGGATGTAACACAAACTATGCACAACGAGCATAGGTAGTGATACAAATTGTTAGGTAATATTACTTCAGATAAAAAAAGATTGTTGTTCGTATGTTTTATTTGTAACCCAACATAGTTATTGCAATTTGTTTAAGTAATATTATTTTAGATTTAAAAAAAAAAAAAGTTGTTTTGTATGTTTTATTTCCGAACAAATTGTAAAAGTGAGAGCAGCCATTTAGCGTTCGTCAAATGAATGCACTCTTCTTGTGTACTCGCATGTTACAAGTTGTGAAATCAGTTTTCACGAGTTCTAATGAACGCAGCATTAATCACAGGGTATGCTAGGGCGCTGTAATTTAATAGGAAAAGTTTGTCTCTCGACATAAACAGATGCTGGGGAGCTCGCCAAAGGAATCTAACAAGAAAAATCAATATATTAGAAACTTGCTGCAACTTAATAGTCTATCTGATTGTAGGTTTTCATTTAGTTTATTCATTAAATAGATTTACAAACATGAAACACAGGAATGTACTTTAAAGCCAGTCAATTATCATTACACTCTCATTCAGAGATATTCTTCCATTATACAGGGAGCCCTCATGCCTAAAACAGGGTCAAAGTTGAAGTCACACTAACAGACTACTGAAAAATCATTAGCAGTCATCATAGGAATCCTATGTGTATGCTCCAATGGAATTTGATTTGCTTGGATAAATAAAGCTGGCTTACTGTGCTTTACAAGCTGTTTGTTAATCCAACACTGCAAGTTTAACTCGGGTCAAAGCAATGTAATTTCTTTGTTTATTTTAACTGGAGACAATGAATTCTATCTTGTATCTTGTAACTGCATGCTATTAACCTATGGCTTATTCAGAGCGAAAATAATTTACCAGTTAATTCACCAGTACATACATTCTAAAATCGCTCGGACACTCGCCTAATTACCTTACGTTTGCGGTATATGTTGTTGAGCTTGGATCTCGTTCCTACGTGCCATGCTGTGGGGTACGTGCATGGGCAGAGTACAGCAAGCAGTAGAAAGTAATGATAGGATAAGCGTTTCTCATTTGAATTTGATGTTCTTTGAAATTTACTTCCAAAGTAGTTTTGTTACACAGTGTTCAGTATTTATTATAACTCACTTTAAAAACGGTGACACACACCTGTACGGTGTTGAAAATGGTATTGAACGTTAGCTAAAACTCGTTTGAAACGGTTGACCAGTGAATTTAATGGAATACAGTTGATCTTTTTCACTTGAACAGACCCATACTCGAAAAGAAAAATGAATTCAACCATGGCAGCCATCGATGAACTAATAATAATGGATGAATATGCCAATGAAAAGATCAGACGGGAAATGGTTGATAGATTAGCTAGTATCTCTGCTAATAGGATTAACCAGGAAATTACTAAGCGTGTATTATGGAGAATACATCCACTAGAGATACACTTGGTCGGAAGTTCATATGAAGGCTTTCCGGTATCAGCCTGGGGTGATGAAGACAAAATGTTGTACAACACAACGTTTCCAATGGTATTGTGGACACCTTCCCCAAAAAAGGGGGGAAATTGTGTAATGGCCGAGCAAGATGTAAATAAGCCAGTGTATATGAGGCTTAAGGTAGTTGACACAAGGTATCTGGATAAGGATATCAGAAATATCATCGATGATGGTGGATATTTGAAAAACAGTGATTTTATGAAAGCTAATTCAATGAAGGGCATTTATCCAAATTTAGACACAGAAATTAGACAAGGTCCCTCAATGGTAAAAATTTCAAAAGCAGAATTTGTGGACATCAGAACAGAAATGGGGGACACAGTATATTGTTTGAAATGTCAATCATGGCCGCCATTTACTAGTAAGTTTTTTGCTAGAGGGAAGCTCAACAACTGGCCACCACAGAAGTTGTTAGACAAGGTCAAAGGTCTTGAATGTTATGTAGTGCCTGTTGGATGCCCAGGTAGCGAGACATACGATATTGAATGGAGATTGTCATTTTCTGTAGCTGAGAAAGAGCTTGTAACTGAGTTGCATGAATCATATGCTAATTGCATGTTTGCCCTGAAATTAATCAAGAAAAAATATATTATATATAGTGATTCTGAAAAACCAACACCATTCTGCTCGTATTTCATAAAGACTGCTTGCTTGTGGATGTGTGAAACATTTCCTCATTTAGATTACAGCATCATGGATTTAATTAGAAAAGTCCTAGATTGGCTCATTGACTGCTACCAACACAAACATCTGCCGCATTATTTTATTCCCCAACATAATTTGATTGGTCATCTCTCAAGGGAAAGTTGTGACAATGTAAGACAACAATTGAAAGAGGTTGAGGGAGATCTTTGGACAAAAGTGCTATTAAGTATTGATAGTGAAGAAGATTATGATTGGTATTCGAAATTTGACTGTCTAGGTGATACACTCAACACCTGTAGAGACAATAGAGAAAATATAGAGCAAGAGCTTGGGCAACGTTACAGAACATTCGTAGGACGAGTGAACACCATGAGGCTCATGAATCACCCTGGAACTACAGAGGTAATTAGAGATATGCTTTGTGCTGTACGATCCGAAAACAGCTTACATCATAATCTGCTAATGGAACAATGGGCTTTTATCTCTATCTTGAGACTATCGAGAGCCACAGGCTGGAGGATATTTGGCTCGCTCTTACACTTCCAGAGAAAAGCATATTATCAATTATAGAGCAAGTTAAAGAGTTAGTGCCAAAAGGGTACGCAGAAATGTTCAAGACACGTTTGTATAGATTCTTAGGCGATACCTTTTCTCACTTATTGGTACCTTTCCAAAACCGAGGTTATGATGAACTTTTAGTTAGGTATCGGGATGCTCCTTTTCATTATTATGGCTTAGGACAAAAAATGGTTTTTCCTGACAACTACAGTGACTATGGCATAGGTGGTCAAATCCTTGTAGTACAATATCATTATTTAATGGGGGACTACAAAGATTTGAAGATGATGTGTGATTCTATACTCAGACTAGTTGAAAAAGCCAAAAACTGTAGGAATACTAGGCTTGCCAGCATTGAATTATGCTTAGAGAAACCTTTGGGAGTCAATGCCTGGGCGACTGATGAGCTTTTGTTTCATCTTGTTAAACGTACCAAAATATTGAGTGTTTATCTGCATCCAATTGCACTTGTTCTTTATATAAAAGCCAGAGTATTACTTACCGAGGGAGATACAGAGAATGCATTACATGTTGTGAAAAACATGAAGGAATACATGGATGAGGCATATAATGGTTTATATATTAAAACCATCAATATGTTTATCACAATCATTGAAAGTCTAGTAGGCCTACTTGCTGTAATGAGATTAATTGTTTGAAACGAGAATTGCCTATTAAGGAAAATATAAATGGAATTGATATGCTGGACATTAAAATAATTTGAATTAATACAAAATATATATATATTTTTAAGATAATGTATCAAATAAGACCATGCACCAAACATATGATTTCCATAAGTGATCCTACTAATCAATATGCAGTAGCTTTCTATCAATTTTATCATGGCAATGTTTCAAATGTTTCTTATTCTGTATAATTTTAATGCAAACATAATATTTAACTCTCTAAATAACATAGCATTTACGTTAATCCGAAATGAGAGGGAGGCCATGATTCAACATTTTAATCTTTATCGGGTTACCTATAGGGATGAGAAGATGATGACAGTATTTGTAAATACAGTTTCTCATTTCTGAATTTGAACCATAAAGTTTGAAACGTTGAATTATGGCCTCCCACTCATTGTTTGCAGTAACATCTGTTGAATTTAAACATAATCAGTGCATCTGTCGGTTAAACTAATTGTAAATATAGATGTCAGCTCTTCGAAATCAATACACTTCAAATATTGATGAGCTGAAAGTGTTCATAATTCTAATCCTATCAACCAATTAATTTTTAAATTGATTTTTGCCAATGCATCTGTTGTATTGGTACTCCAATCACACTAATTGTGAGGCGTGCAAGAACGAAAACAAATAATGAATGGAACGCACATGTGTAAATATTGGCTGAATAAAGCATTGTCTATCGTTTATTGTGTTTGTGTTTATTGAAGATGACTCATATGGATTCTTTGACTAATTCTGTAAATCTTATTTGTAAAGCATGGAAAAGAAGATCTTCCTTTTAAAATGTTTGAAGTAGCCTATGGATTGTCTTTCACATTGCTTAAATATATCACTCATTGTATTGTAATTTTTTTTTTTTTTTTTTTTTTTTAACTTCAGAAATGTAAAATTTGTAAATTTAGTATTTTTGTGTTAATATTTACTGTTTATATATTTCATTCAATATCTATCTTATTGGTTATTTTTAATTCTGTAGATCTAGTTAGTTGTAAATTGTCTTAAAATACTCATTTGCTTGTATGTATATGTCATTTATGTTAAAGTTTACCTTCATTACCTTATTACTTGTCTTTTACTTTTGGAGCAGCTTCACAAGTGAGGACTGTTATAAAAGTGACGATTCCAAATACATTATTATTATTGTTGTTGTTATTATTATTATTAGTATTGTTATGTACATGATAGAAATAGTGATTATATATTTTGTTCCGTATAGTACTGCTAAATTATCTCTATACAATGAAACTCATGACCCAACTACTAAGTAAATGAAAAAAAAAAGTAAAAGGGAAAACCAGTTATTAAAATAATGGAAACAGTGAGTTTGTACAAAACAACAGAAATATATTCATAGACAGATTTTCTTGAAAAGCTTTTCTAGGAAAATGCCTTACTCTATCCACAAGAATATAATTAATTTTCCGGTGTTCATCTAGCCATAAGCAAAGGGTGGGGGAGGGGAATGAATGTTCGGTTTGACTGACGTAGGAAATTGGTTGATGTGGAAGTGCCACCATAAGCTCTGAGTACTTTCATTTAATCGATTTATAATAGATAATAGATTCAAAGGCCCAGCTGTAGAAACCCTTATAGCAACCCTACTGATGCATTTCTCTAGCCATTAGTAAATACACTGTACTACAAAAAATTATTATGTGTTTACTATAATTGGGTAAAACCGTTGTCATATGACCATTATTAAGCATAAGTAAGGCTGGCACTAAATTGAGTTTGAAAATTGTTTTATTTAGAGGGAAGTTATTAAGATACATTATGCTTAAATGTTTTATTCAAAGTGTTTAAAGAATGGACTACTGTACGATGTTATTGATCCTTGATTTATAAACAGTTTCTGGAGCCAACTCCTGTGCTCGTTCTACCAAAATTCCCATTAAAATATACAAAAAACGTCCTATTAATACTATTAGTATTCGATCATGTATACACAAAACATTGTTTTTTTTATTATATTATTGTGATGTCTTATTTTGACAGATATTTATAGTGAATTGCTGTAAAGCAGTTTTGAGTAGTTTGTAACATGACCACGCACATATCTACCCCGCTTTTTAGTAAAGGACTTATGAGTGGTTGACTGGGGAGGGGGAGTAGCAAATTTACACTGTGGGTATGCCTTTAACTTCTTCATCAAAATCGCAAAAACAGTCACCATATGCACAACTACATGTCCAGCACTAAAGAGAGATCTGGCAGGTAGGCATGGTTTTCTGACTTGTTTAAGAAATGTGTCGGTATGTCAGAATCATTTACTAATACTAGGCTACTAATCGCAATAGTCATGTTGTAAGCAGGAGCCAAAAAATATATTGTGTTCTGTGTGTAAATTTCCTGTTTTTAAACAATATAAATAGGTATAATAATAATAATGATATATTTATTTTCTCAAATACAGGAGGGCGAAGCCAAGGAGGAAGAAGGTTCCTATATAAAATTTGGCAGCGCAAAACATTAAAACATACATTCCAATTAGACTATGCACAGGTGTTAAGACTTTTGTTCTAAAAGACCCTTCACATGGTTGTTCAGTGGCATAACTAGGTTGTGAGGGGTCCCAATGGCATATCAAGTCGTGCTGACGGGGGGGGGGCACAAAGGTGAAGTGGGAGGGGGATCGATGATCAGTTGAGGGGCGCTAATTCGCAAAATAAGGTGATTTTTAACTACTTGACCGTGACATTTGAAACCAGTGTCAGTATAATCTTGGGACTGAGAGACGAGTAATTTTTGGACGGACACATTCGATATTTATTGAATTGGTGTTTTTTATTTATCGGATTGACTATTGAACAATGTCAACAATTATCTTTGATATTACTTTTTATACTTAAACTAAATCAAATAAAATGAATCACACCTGACATCATTAGACTATATGACCGTGAGCATGCAAAACATATAAATATGGCAGCCAAACACAGTTTAAAATGGTCCTGATAATAAAATGTACATTATTAAATATATGTTTTCTTCATCCCAGACTTTAGATAATTTCTTTAAATCGCACAAAAACCAGTAAAAACTTATCACTAAGACCAACTCAGACAGCGTCGTACGACGCAGCCCGACGCGATTTGTTGTCGCGTCGGGTCTGTGTGAGTTAAACGCAGACGCGATGGTGTGCGTCGGGGGCAGTCGCGTCCTAGAATATTAAACATGTTTAATATTTCTCACGACGGCTTAAGGCTATGTTCAGACACAACGACTTAAGCTAGCGTAACGTTAATCGAGTGGTGTGAACTTGTGCACGGCGTAGCGAACGCCAGTATTATCGCGCAATCACTGGCGTACGGTAATCCAGCAACAGACCCCAGATTAGCGTACGCCACTGATTTACGACAGTCATGCATCGGTGATTTTGAACTCAGCCAAGATTTGACCAATCAAAATAAACCTAGATGTAAACAGAAAATAAAATGCGCGAATTACGAATACGATTTTTTCGCGCGAATACTTACGCTAGCGTTCATTAATCGCCCAGTCTAATCTCGCTAGTTACGCCATGGATTAACGTACGCCCGGCGTTAGATACGCCTGGCGTATATCACAGGTCTGAACGTAGCCTAAGACTGTCCCCGACGATAAATCGGGTCGGGCTGCGTAGGCCGACGCTGTCTGAGTTGGCCTTAAGACCTAATCATGAAATATGTTAATATTTGCACCTGCTTTTGTTTTTTTCTTTTTTGTTTATTGTTTTCTAATCTTTTCTCGGTTTATTTAAAAGTGAGAAAAAAAAAGTAAAAAAAAAATATTTTTTTCTTGACGTGGTCTTTAAGTATCTTTGACCTCTAGGTCAGCCTTGTAACTTAGCTTTAAATAAAGATGCTGTATATATGAGAGTGATAGTGCATGTACAGGCCTAAAAGCTTCGATCTGAGCATGCCTTTGTTATGTTCACAGCACACCAAAGAGATCCCCATAGCTGACTTGGTCGCCTGGAATGTGTGCGTGTGTTTGTGTGTAATGTTAATGAGGGACACTCACACAGGGAGATTTTTTTTAAAGAATTTGACTCTCATGGCATCCTACTCATCTGGTATAACTCAAAACATTTAGGCCTATACTCACAAAAATGCCCTGTACATAATGCTAAAGAGTGCGCCCAGAAATGCACCCAACTGTGATAATGTGGTATAAGGACACAGAAGATAGTAGCATAACTCAAAATAATGACCAATTTAGCCTAAAATTTGTAGGCCTATTTTAAATCAATGTAGGTCTATTGCGAAATGATAACTTGTTCAAAACTTATTAATCTCTTATCACTGCCATAACTAAATGAATTGAGTTGTTTAAATACCTCCATTAATAGATAAAATGCAAGAAACACAAACACATTATATAAATACAATATGAATAATTATAATGACTATGGCTCTGATTTTTTATACGAGCTGACAGGTATTGTCAAATACATAACGTATACAATGATGTAGGCCTAATTAAATAAAACCTTGTGTTATGAATGCACAGGTGTACCATACTCTGTGCATTATTTAATACATTATATACTGTACAATAACAGCGGTATCGTGAAATATAAACAATAAGCAAAATAAAACGTGTTACGAATACACAGTGCAATATGCTATCATATTTAAAAATAGGCAAATTAATGAATACTATATAGAGTTTTTACTAACATACTGCTGCTACAATATTAATTTTATTTTATAAATATTTAATTGTTATTTTTTATTTATACCTCTAAATATTTTAAAAATCATCTAAATTACGAAAATTAAATATTGTTAAAATTTGAAATGTCAGGCAACATAAAATCAAGTGCATGGTGGATTTTTTGTTCAAATATAGAACATAAATGTGATGCAAACATTAATAATCAATTCATATAATTGGACCCAAAAATGGCCCCCATGGTCTCTGAAAGTCACAGGGCCACCGGCCACGGCGTTACGCCACTCTCTTGGATGTAGCAGATACAGTAGTTCAATGTCACAATAAAACAATTGTTTTATTGTTGTTTCACTGCTGTAGCTACGCCACAGTGGTGTTCAGGAAAATGCCACCTGAAATGTATTTTCTCTCCATATTCGAAAATACATTAATTGTTGCGTCAGGGTTGTATTTTTACAACTAAATACCGTACATTATCAGTCATGATATGTACAGTAAGTATTGTGATAAAACTTACATTTATTTGTCACAATGATAAAATTGCATAAAACTGTTCGCATCAATTTCCCATGCTCTAATAATTGCACTTTATAACCACATAGAAAAGGCACTTATAAATGCCCGTACCAGTACCAGTATTAGTAATATATTTATTTTCTCAAATACAGGAGGGTGTCAGATGTCAATGAGGAATAAAGTTCCTAAACAAAATGTGGCAGCCCCGAACATCAAACATGAAAGAAAAAATAACAAAATGACAATAGTAATTAATCACAAACAAGATAGACACCCCACAAATGAATAATAGTTATTGATTTAACTATGGTTTAAAAGTAAATTTAAATTATCGATTTATTATTATAATATTATTTTTATTCTTATATTATCTATTCATAACTGGTGTATGCCAGAGACAAAAAACAGTAATACTAAAAAAAAGAAATATTTAACAGCATACTTTTTTAATGATATTATCATCACCATTATTACTAAAAAAAAACTTGCAATGGGAAAAACCAAAGACAAGCA